AAAGGAGATTCTCAAGCGTTGGGAAGAAGGGAGAGCCCTCTCTTTTCGCCAGTTTTCTTTTTTTTTTTTCCCTTTTATTTTTTGGCTCAGGTAGTGCGGGGCGAGGCGGATATCACTTGGCCGCCGCTATGGTTCCACTTTTGAACAACGTCCGGTCCGGTACTGTATGTTTCCCTTAACGACACAAGGGAAGAAGACTTTGTCTTAACGACGACGACCTGAGGACAATCATATGGCTGATAAGTCATTCCCGTGACTTCGGAATCTATCAATCAATCAATCAAGACAATACAGCGAAGAAGCTCAGATGAGCAACGAAGTCCGGGGTCTAAGTCCCACTTGCCGGAATTCTTCATTTCTCAAATTCTCACCGTAGATTATGCCGATCGACGGCTGGAAATGAAGGATCTGGCCCAATCAAGACAATACAGCGAAGAAGCTCAGATGAGCAACGCAGTCCGGGGTCTAAGTCCCACTTGCCGGAATTCTTCATTTCTGACCGTAGATTATGCCGATCGAAGGCTGGAAATGAAGGATCTGGCCACGTGGGACTTGGTCCGGGTGTGTTCTGGGGTCATGTGCTACTGGGAGCGCAGGGTGCGGTGATTGCCACCGTCCACGTGGTGTGGTGTGCGTTGAGTGTGGGAGACTAGTACAGACTTGCACGGGTGGGGCGAATCTCACTTGCCCGGTCTCGTGCCGCTTTTTTTTTTTTTTTTTTTGGGAGGGGGGGAGAATGTCTGGGTCCGCTTCTCTAACAGCGTGTCCTGGCCTGGCTGTAGAGACTTGGCTTAAAAAAAAATAAAAAATAATTAATAATAATAATAATAATAATAATAAATAAATAAAAGACTTGGCTCTTCTTGAGACCGAGGTCGGCGGATCGAAGCCCGTGCAGGTGCACGGCGGCGGGCGGGCTGAGGGGCCCGGAGGGCCAGAGGTAGGTACTGATCCATGGGACATCACAGTGCGCTACCGTCTTCACCCGAATAGAACGCCCGGTGATGATACTTGCATTTGGCCCACATGTCAGTCCAGATGCAGAAATAATTACCGGGTGTTCTATTCGGGTGAAGACGGAATTTGGGGAAATTTGTTTATTTATAGAGTTGAGCGAAATTCAAATTTCCGGTCGTTGAATTTTTTTTTCTCTCTTTTTTTTTTTTTTTTTTTTTTTCCCCTAGAGAAAGGGGCGTCGTTGATTTTATCGTCCTCTTCGTGCTATCATTGCAAAACTGGGTGTGGTGAAATTGAAAAAAAATGTTTGTTAAGTTCGACTGACTCAAGTGCATACAAAGAACCATGCGTACGTCAACGAAAAGGATTTTTTTTTTTTTTTTTTTTTTTTTTTGTGTGTGTGTCTGTGTGTGTGTGTGAATCTTTTTGTAAAATAAATCATCGAGAATGATAGATATGTGCACAGTCGCTGGGAGCAAGGAATAATACAACTATACCGTCTATACGTAAATACGACCGTCTTCCCCCGAACATAACGCACGCTCAATATGACTGCATCGAACCGGAAAGAGGGCTTGTATACATGCAGAAACAGGGGGTGCGTCATGTTGGGGGGAAGACGGCAGGAGAGAGTTACCGCAGTCATTTTGGGACATCCGTTAAAATTGGAACGTAACACACAGAGAGAGAAGATGAGCACATGGCCCCTGCGCAGTTCAAGGATCATGATGACACGCGTAAATCGAGAAATAATCCAAATTATTATTAAAAAAAAAAAAAAAGGGTAGCTTACTACTTGATTCCTGGCTTCCTGAATCTCCGTTAAGCTGGGTTCTAATTTTTTTGTTGATTCCTCCACAAATAGTCCAAATTTAACCCCAGATGCACAATTCGGAGTACCCTTATTCATTCTCCAGATTCTCAAAATTCAATCCCCCATGATGGAGTAATCGTCCAGTAATCCATGCTATCGACTCTTATATGTCGAACACAAACCTCGCAGGTAGACCAGAGAAACTCAATCACAGAGACACAGAGAGAGAGAGAGGGAGAGAGAGAGAGAGAGAGAGAGAGAGAGAGAGAGAGAGGTAGGTCCCAGGTGCACCTGCTGGGAAACGGGCGCAGCGTCCCAATACACAGCAGCAGCAAAAACATTAATTTAGCCTAAGGTGCATCCGCAGACTTCTCCAGTGCATGGGGCTCAACC